ATATTGCTAACAGAATTAATAATACTAGCCGGCTTTTAAGAGATAAATTTACTAGTATTAATATATAAGCTAAATCTATAATTACTTATATTAATAGATATAACTTTATTAATAGCTTTAGAGTATTACCTTAATTCCTGCTCCTAATAAATAAGCTTACTAACTAATTATTTAAAGCTATTATCTTTAATTATAGCGAACTTAATTATGTTACTATAATTATTATAGATAGATATAATAGAATAATTTATAAATGTAACTAAGGCTTTTAATATTACCTTTTCTACTATTAGTAATAATAGCTCTTTAAAAAAGTATATTATCTTAATATAATACTAGTGATTATTATAGAGATTATTTATTATTAATAAAAATAAGATTTAAAGAGATTTAAGAAGCTAATCTTTTGTCTGCAGTATTAAAAGTAATAATTAATTTATAAATTTTATAATTTCTAAGTATTTAATAGGGATCTTAGCCTAGTTAGTCATCTAGCTACTAGTATATAATGTCCTTATAAATATAATTCTCTTAATATATATAAAGATTTCTTTTAAGTGTAATACTAGACTATCTCTTAATATTATAATAGTCTTTTTGTAGACTAGTCCGCCTAGGCTATAGACTATAAAGATAAGGCTACGTAATAATATATTATACTTAGCTTAATCTATAGTAAGATTATTAATAAGGTTTGTAATATAATTGATTAATTAATTTAATAATAAGACCTCTTTATATATTAGGTAAGCATTATAGCTTTAAGTTAGAATTTATATATGTTTTAAATAATAAGGCAATAGCAGCTAGGACTATAATACTTATTAATTCTTAGTCGTCTAAGTTCTCTCCTTATCCCTTATAAGTCTATATATAAAGCAGATATTAATAATAGCATTATTATAAGGATAAAGTTCCTTGATTCCTTTAAGGAAGATTGCAGCAGAAATGTCTAGCGATAAAAGCCCTTGTCTGATCTCATTATTATATATATTTATTATAGTTAAGGACGTGTTTCCCTCCTGCAGATGCTTTCTATTCTTTCTACCCTGAAGAACAGCCTTAAGTTTCTTTATATAAAGAAGCGACTGTAGACAGGTAGTAGAGAGGGTTAGGAGATAAGGTCACTAATAAAGCGGGCGTAGACAAATTACTTATTATTAGGAAATGTAAAGAATATATTAGATAATATATAATATTAAATCCCTTTAAAACTTCTTGTTATAATATATATAATAATATAATATATTATATATTACATAAGTAATTATAATATAGAGTAGTATACTCGACTATTTTATTTAGTACAGTAAGGGTGATATAATTTGTGCTAAAGTAATAAGTATCAAGTCTGCAAAACTTTACACAGGCTATTTCACTACCTAGGTTATTAAGTTAAGAACACATTCAAATAATAGAAGCAGCTATATTCGTGAAATATAATATTTACAGCTCTATAATTACAGGGAGGTCATTAGTCAAGTATTAAATTTTGAGTATTTTTATTATAAGGTAAGCGTGACTTGTAGTGGAGCAACCTGTTATCTTGACAAGGATTCTTCGCGCATGTTTAAGACACTAATTTCGCACATCACTGTAAGTAACCCTAATCGCAATTAGTGCCCAGGTGTAGCAAGAACTCCGCTATATATAAGAGAGTCGCACCAGACTAGAAATGTCTCCAAGTTATTAATATGCTCTTGGCAGTAGTCATTCTAGGCTTCGGACTTAATTGTCCACTTATAACAGTGAAAGCACAGCTCTGCGAAGCTATAGTCGTCGCTACAAATCTTTTTGTAGCATGTATATATATATCTCTAGTCGTAAGAGGTGTTCGCATCAAGGCCTGATTGAGAGTTGTTTTTTTTCTAGCAATTACACTTATCCGGTTCTAAGCCGGGCTGATACATCACTTCCGAACGCCTTTGATATAGCGTAATCAGGTCCTGAAGGACCGCGAGGCCTGTGGGGCTTCTTAGGATGTTAACTTAGAACAGACTTAACGCGAGGCGGTCTCTTTCAGGCATTATAAACTAGGCTCGATCAAAGATAGCCTGATGATATCCTAGTGGGTCGTCGTACTTGATAGGCTACTGTTTTTGCTAATTACAGAGCTCCTGATCCTCTAATCGGCGTCTCTTGTTGTACAGAGCCTTTCAAGAGCGGACAGATTCCTTGTCTCTCACGCCTTCTAGAGCGGCAATCTGTTCTTCCAACCTGCGGAATTCTGGTACGTCTTTGAGCATGTACTGCTTCTCTGCAGGGAGACACTGCTACAGTCTCGGGTTCTGAGGCACGATCAGTCTGCAGAAGAGGTCCCTTACGAGAGTTCGCCCCTTACTACTGAAATAGGCCTGTTGCTCATCCGCACTATTTCTAGGCAAGTAATGTCTTAGCACAGTATTAGGATCTGTGTGCCCAGCATAAACTATCCGTGTTACCTCAGGGGCAAATTAGTCTTTAATAGAGTTAGCATCAAAATAATTAAGAAGAGATTAGAGACCTACTCATCTAATATAGGCCCTTAGCCTAGAAGTCATGATTTCTTATAGGTTCTAAGTATTCTGTATGTAAACTAAGTAATCAAAGTCTTTTGCTAAATATATTTGTAGTTTTAATCCTCTCTATAGACTTATTAATAAAAAAGAGTATCTTTAATATCTCTTCTTTCTAATATAACTAGAGCATTTCCCTTTCTAGTAGCACAATTTGTAAAAGCTTATTATACGTGCAGTAGTCTTTAAACACACTACGTACTAAGAGCTAAGAGAGATAAAAGAGCATCAGATTAAAGCAAAGAAGCCTAGGTTTCTCACCCTTATATAAGGGGTATTACAATCTGTAAGGTTAAAGGTTAGGTTCAGAGGCCCAGAAACATAGAGAGCTAGAGATCTACCTTTTTTTAGGCGTGTCTAATATTATTTTAGCATCTTAAGTAAGCTAAAGAGCAAATTCTGAATTACTTAGCTTATTTAAAAAGACTCCAAAAATTAGGTCTTAGTATTAAATAATTAATTAAGGATATACTGACTAAGGGATAAAGAAGGGGACTCACTTTATAATAAAGACCTTAACCGGTTTTTAAGCAGTAAGAGAATTTGATATACTTACTAATTTGAGCTGAAGAAAAAGTGTTTCCCAACTATATAGCCTAATCATCTAACCATGTTGCTAATAATTTATACATAAACTAATCTATTGCAAAAAGCTGGTTAGTAAGGTGATTTAAGACAACTTTAGTAACGAATCTTCTTAATTGTTTTGCGTTAGTTAGGCTTAACTCTTCTGTTAGAGGTCCTTTAATGAACTGAAAAGGAGTTAGTTCCTCTGACTGAAACAGACTATATAGAAGACGTATACTTGTATAACAGAGTATGCGATTTCATGAGGGATTGCGGGATGCTAGCGTTGCCATCCCGTTGTGAACCTGTTCTAGTACTTGCATACAGTCTCTTTACAGGCTTTAGGAACGCAATCCGCGCTATTAATAGCTAACACTATTATCCTTACGAACTTTTTTAGCGAAACTAGATCATATAGAGATGTGTCAGGATTTTGTTGTTAATAACTATTTCTCTCTGTTAACTTGATTCTTATGAGTCAGTCAGGCGATCTAACTTACAAGAGCCAGAGGTCGACCTGCTTTTGATACAGCTTTGCTGATGTAGGCTAAAGCTTTCAGTGCACTAGATCACTATTTATAATCTCGGTATCTTTCTTAGAGCCCCTTTCCTTGGCTTATTGAAAGGTCTCTACAGCACTCTTCTTTTTCGTTATTTGATAAGGAATTAGGGTTGATCAAAAGTAAAATGAACATAGAATATGAACCTTTATGCGAGGATGGAGGATGGGGTAAACAAGAGTCGGAAGAGAAGTGTACGCAAAATAGCAGAAGGGAAAGGAGATATTAGGGGAAGAGAGGAGACAAAGCAGCCCAGACATCAACAGCACTAAAAATCGCCATGTTGCATAGACATATATAACACGCGAGTCCAGATTCACCGTGCATAAGGATTCAATGCGCTATCCCCCCTAGAGGTCCCAAAACTGGGTCACTAGACCTTCGCGTAGAATTGACCAAAAATCGAAGGGACGGTAGCTGCGGGCATAGCATAGTTCGCTAATAATAGCAAGGGCTTAGAATTGGGCCCGAGTATGGGTGAAGCGAGACTGAGTCCCCTGAGCAGCACCGGGACAGAAGGTGAGCAAGAGGGTGAGCAGCGGGAGCAGTGGCGGTGCGGCCTGAGCAGAGGCTGAGCCGAAGTTGAGCCGGGTGACTAATTCCTGAGTCAGACAGTAAAAACCGCCAACCCAACTGGGTGTCAAGGCGCGGTCAAGATTCGGTGCAGGTACCCATAACTACTGCATACCTTTGACGCCTTCAAAAATAGCTTACAGGTTATTCATCCATGCCAACTCCCAATCGTTCCCTCGCCTAGAACCTTATGGGGGGGGAGGTTATTATCGGATCGGTAGAGTCCATGCTGCCTTTTCTACAGAGTCATAATTCAAAAGTAGTAGTTGACCCCTTAGTAGTTGATCTACCGCTACTGATGTCTCTTAGCTTCAGTAAGGCTTGACTCATCGCTCAATCATATAAGGAGTCAGTACCTAACCTGACGTATATCACTAGTTTGTGCTTATTCTTCTCCGACCCGTTTCTACATATGATGAATTCTTGATAGTAGAGGGCGAGTATAGGTAAAAGTAAGTAAGTAAGGGTTGACTAAGCAGAGGGTAAGTGTAGAGGGCAAGAGGTAAGACGTAAGAAGATATTGATTAGAATCATCATTATGTTTGCTCCATTGTCTCTGCCAATTTCTCAACTTCATCCCTAGCAGAGTACTTCATTTTAATAAGAAAGCAAGAAGACCGGCGGGAAGATTTTGCAAAGGTCTCCCACAGCTGTAGTATCGCAAGCGTCAACAATAAGATATAGTTGTCGTATTACCGCTTGCACACCATCAATCGACCGCCACCAACATCTTTGTTTTAGTCTCTCATACAATTTCGATTCTTGAAACAGGGGCATCCTGAAATAGACGGTACTCATACAAGCAAAACACGGAAATCCCGATCCGTTCATAACAACTGGCTTGCTCCTCGACTTTTCTCAACACAAGAACATGTTCTGTTTGTTCAGTGTAAGATCTCTCCTCGGTAGTGCCGATTAGCAAGCAGCACACTTCTTCGCCTTCGAGAAGGGGACCTCTACCAACATCCCAGTACGGGCAATCAGCACAAAGCAACTCTGAATAGGTATTATCATCGCAATGCAGATTCACCCTAAAATCCATTCTGGAGTCAATCGAGAGGTGTAACGGCTCCAAAGTAATCGTTGCCGGTAGCCATGCCCCAGTGATTTCTACTTGGCCAGACTTAGGACTGCTGAACAGTCCATCATTGTCTGACTCAAATTTAATGCTGTAGCCATGGACCTGGAATCGCTCGTCCTGCAGAAAGCCGTCCAATAGCGCGTCGTGGTATATCAGAGAACATAACGGGTCATCCGGAAAGTGCCGAGTTGATCGAGACATCCATGACCATGTAGGCATAGAAGCTGACCTTCTTGTTGCTTTCAAGCTTGAACGGGGTGTTCCCATCCACAAGAGACCCCGAGCAAGATCACCAATCCATATTCCTGCGGCATACTCAAGTTCAATATGATCCCTAACACGCTGAGCGATCCCCGCAAGCGCAACAGCCACGTCTGAAGATCTGCTGAGTGAGAGTTTGGAATAACACTCTACCGCAAGAAGCCAGAAGTTAAAGGTTTCTTGGATTGAATTCGAGTCGCCACAGACTTGAGCGAAATGCCCTTTAAAGAATTGGCGTGGCACACGGGACGATTGATATATGCTCACTTCCTCAACTGACGAAACTTGATGCGTACTGTAGGGTCCGGTCGAAGGACTATCCAGGCCTGTGCATTCGCAGGAGAGAGTCGAGCGACACTCCCATATTAACTCTGAGGCAGAAAAATGAAGGTTTCGTGGTGCCAAAAGACGCTCTTGGAGTACCCAGGCCCGTGTTAATAGAGGCGCCACCTGCCACCGGCGATTTACCATATTTCTCATGACATAGTCATGCCCATCCTCAAGCACTGGACGGACAAATATACTGAGAGGTTGATCGCTACTACTCTTGAGCTCCCATGACCTCACAGAGAGCTGGTGGAAACCTCTTGGATCCCCATATAAATCACTGAAACATTGCCGGCCCGTGAAGTATCCAGTGGACCCATTAGGGGAGGAAGTCGCAGCTATATTCAGGGTTGAATGAGAATATATCTCGGACATCTTCAAAGACTGTTCCCTCCAATCAGCCTCATCGTCTTGAATAATGCACAAACTATCAATCCACAGGTAGTCGCAGTTGATGAGCTTGGTGATGGTGAGAGTATCCTGAAAGACCGGATTTAGCTCTTCCCATTTGATGCCTGACTTGCGGTCGTCGAGGTTTTCAAGTGTCGTTTTGAAAACTAACTCTGGATGCTCACCCCAGCAATGACTGAGTGTTACGTATCTTGCTAAGGTGTATGGTGGAGGTTCAATGAGGCGAAATGAAGATCCGGAAATCTGTATAACTCGTTTAGGTAACGGCGCAGCATCCTCCCTGCAATTGCTATGATTCAGTATACAGTCTTTCATCCATGCATGTAACATTCTCTTGCAGGTTTCAAGCTCGAGTGACACTGGTACGTCTCGACTGTGCCCAAAAGCTGGATGGATTTGCGGCTCGCCTGAAGCGAAACTCAGCTTAGTTGGCCAATCTCGTGGAGTTCTAATGATACCTATTTTTGTATAAAGTTCAACACCTCTTGTGACAGCCGCGTAGTCGTACTTCGTTCCAGACTCTGATCGTTGTAGGATCATACTCTTTCCGGGTCTGATTACCATGTGTAACCATAGTAAACTTCTTTCAACTTCGAAGCCACTCTCATATCCTTCCTCATCACTTTCATCCACGCAGTCTTGTTCATAATTATCAATCCCGCCATGTTTACCGCTTTCGGCTGAATTGTTATCTCCTACCACCTTGGGTCTGTGGCTGGATCCAGCAGGCTCATCATTTTCGCTGTGCTCACCTACTCCACCACCGCTAATCTTTATTGATAGAGCTGGTTCTACTATTTCCCATATCTTTTCTTCAGGGCTATGTCCTTCCCTATCAGGACTCGAGCCCCAGAATATCCTGACGGCTTGCTGCAGTACACAACAGATTCTACAGCCTTTATCAACGGAGTGTTTGAGCTCATCGAAGCCAACGGTATTAACTCGCCGCGGCGATATATCGCCGTCCTTTGGTGTGAATCTCTCGTAGCAAAGATTGAGACATACTGCACAGACTTGACTCTGGTCGTCTTCCATGGCTAAGCCGTGTATAATTTGATTGGGGAAATTACTGATGTATTCGAAGATTAGAACGTGAACCCTCTTGCTGATTGTGTAGACAACTCAAAACGATCAAGCGGTGGGAAGGTTATGGGAGTCTAAAGATCGCATTGTAAACGTCTTGCCAGAAATGAATTTCGCCGGTTGATGCGTTGTATCAATCACTTTGTAAATTTTAGGTATCCTCTAATTAGTCATCATGACCCAGCCACGGTGTGGAGCAATGTGGCTCAAAGCATCAATTGTGTAGTGTATGTGTAGCTATCTAGAAAATCTAAAGTGCAAGGTTCAGACGAATGGCTCCAAAGATATGCATGTGATTGGAAATCATCGTGCCTCAGCTCGAGATTGGCTGTCTCCATGTCTTGAAATTGGTGGGGGATCACTGTCCGGTCGCTGTTGAAACGAGTCACGACAAGCTGGTCGATATGGCTGACGAGACGTACTACGTATGGTGGTCTCTTGGTGGCGGCATAAGTATAACGGCATCGACGTATATCTCTCTGCGTTTTGACGGATCTAAGGTCACATTGGGGCCATGGTGAAGGTGTATGTGATGCGGCGGTAACTGGAAATGTTTGGCGGTCAGCTTTTCAAGCTAAGTTGTATACGCTTGTATTGGGTTTTTGACGATAAGGGTCGAGCCAAGCAAAGTTGTTGACCTTCTGAGAGGGCTAATTGGCCGCGTTTAATATGCGTAATCCCTGCGTTTCTGCTGCTTCTAATTGGTCAATTTCCGACGCAATTTCGCTTCTAATTTCGCTGTACGGCACAGCCAATTGTACATAGATCTACGCTCTCTACCCCCGTAGCTATCAATCAACTTGCTTCTCTACGCACTCTGCACAGCAGGTTGACAAAAGTCTTTCCTGCCGAGGGCTGTCATTTCAGCAACGATACTGAGGCAAGCAGAGTAATGCCTTCTACGCAGGTTACGGGGATGGTTTATGAAACTTACCCAGACTAACTCAGCTGCTGTGGCAACATCAGAAAACGGCCTACGTTAGGGGTGATAATTGGTAGAAGCAAAATTTGCACTGCTGTCCAAGAAAGTATTCGTGAACTCGAAGATTTGACGGGGCTGTGTTTCAAAACAATGCTTGTGGTATCTACGAGTAATCTTCTATCCGTACCTCACATCATGTGGGTTCTTTGCTGTTCATCAAGGACGATCTGCAGACTCTACTTGCAACGATACGTGTGGATCGTCTCACGAGGCCTCCCCCTGATGCACCACATTTATCAGCTTCCCTGTGTAGTGACGAGGCCGAGTGGTTCGCATTCGATTTTCGTGGAGATCTCGGCCGAAGTAACGTCTTGAAGATCGTAATTTGGGGCATGACAGTGGCACAGGAACGTAGATTCGCGGCCGAAGCCGAACATTGGTCACTGCGCTGCATCCAATTGGCAGACACTATCAAGCTGCTCTTACGTACTTAGCAGGAAGAGGCCCTCTAAAATAATGCTAGGAAAGCCATCAAAGTGCGCTTAGAATTAGCCTGATTATAAAATTGCTTAGTGTGTACCAGAATATGTAACTAAGTCGTCCTTGATCTAATAAAATTTTGTTATCTATAACGTATTTTACTAAAAATATGGTTATAGTATGGTCAAAATATGCTTGTCTTATCATACTAGTATGGTTGTCATTTGATAGAATAACTGCAATTTCCACTAAGCGCACTTAGCTCATATCTTTAGCTACCCCTTCTCCTGGTAAGTAGTATGATCTTAGGGACTTTCTCAGCTTCGCTATCACATTACTAATTCCAAGCGTCCCAGGGGCTGAAGCCCATCGCTAGCCTAAAACGCCACAAGAAATGCCACTACTGTCCCCTAAGCGACCTATTCTTAGCGTATTTTGACTACTTTTGGGGCACGACTCCGTAGAACTCGTTCAAATACACATTCAGAAGACAAACATCTCGTTTTGTGACGTGATAGCACGATGTCTAAAGAAGGCAATACTCCGTACATAAAGTCCTAACACTAATCTAAAAGTTTCAGTCTTTGTAAAGCTTCTCCTTTATTCTTGCACGCCCACCCTCTTGCAGCTAAGTAAGACATATTATGATAGTCCTAAGAAAGATGGTGTTGTCGCTCCTGCAGCTGCTCCTTAAGATCCTTTATCAGCAAGTTCCTCCTGGTAGGCAAGATACTCTTCTAGAGGAAAGACTTTCAGATTTCGTTCCCGCTGTTGTCTATCCTAAGGCAACAGCATTTGGCTAGACAATCTGATATATGCTAACTTTAATTGGCTCAAGGGTTGACATGCAGAAAATAAATGACAAGTAATTACAAGTTAAAATAGTTATCCTGATGTGACAGAAGTACGATTCCTTGCAACAGCACAATCTCTCCACAAAACCCGCACCAGAAGCGACTCTGGCAGTCTCGGCCGATTCTCTACTCACAAATTTGTTCTGGAAAGGCGTAATATTCCCTGATGATACTCCTCCTCTATCATGACATAATTTGGATCAGGCTCTGGTGGGAAGACTTAAAGAATTAGTTGTGTAAGTAAATTCTCTACTGCAGTTGTATAATTATAAGGGAGTATATTTATTATATTGTTATCAGGATCAGCAGGATTAACTAATATCATAGGTATAGCACCTTGTTAAAAGTTTGTCTGTACTAACAATTATAGAGCTACATTTTGAAATGTAATAATCTGAATAGGCTCCTTAGACAGACTTCCACATAATCGTAAAAGTCTGTCTAGCTTGTTATTCGTCTTCTGTTGTCTGTAGTCTATCTCATGTTGTATATAGCTTATCTTATCTTGCAAGTTGTCTAGTTTTGCTTCTAGTGTAAGTACGTTCCTATCTTGCTTATGCGAAGTGATTTCTTTGTATATATATATTAACTGTTTGTCTTTGTAGTAATTACATAGCTGTTCCTTATTACACTTAGCTTTTCAGGTTCAATAATTCTTATATATATATTAAGCGTGAAGAAGCTTTTTGTAATAGTTTTAATAATATAGTTAGTATATATAATTAGGATAAGGGCCAGCTAGTTAAGAATAAGAAAATAATTTGTATTAGAGTTAAAGAAATAATAATATAATTTAATTAGGCTTGTTTACAAAGAGTAATAGAGGAGGTGCCTAGCTAGGTGGGCTAACGCTGTAATTTGATTCAAAGCCTAAAGGTAGTAAAAGATTATGCAATCCAAACTTGACTAGTTATATTCTGAGAGGATAAGAGAATTATATATAGGTAAACTTTAACTTTCTGAAACACATATATTCCTAGTAATAAATCAGTAAAAGGAGTGAAACTTTAAGGGACAATAGGCAGAGGATAGTAGAATAATATAAGATATATGAAGAGAGCTTCGACAGAGTAGCAAAGCAAATAAAGGAGCTCTTTTGGTTTTAGCTAGGGTGGTTTAGGTTCAGTTCAGATCTATATAAGACTAGAATAGTTGACCTACCGCTCTAAGTTAGAAAAGCAAGACTAGTTGAGATCGTAAGATCAAGAAGTACTATAAGCGGACATGATTATAGGGAGAGACGAGTGTTAGTCTAAAATACTCTTCTAACAAGAATAGTTAAGTGCTATTCTAATTATATTATGTATCATGTTAAATCCTTAGCGTAATACTAATATGTAGTAACACCTTTAAATGCTACTCCGACCCTTCTAACATTATTTTACAAACAGACTCTCACTCTGCTCCTGATCTAGGTTTAGCGTCCCTCAGTCTGATCTAGGTTTAGTATCCTTTGCCCCTACTCCTAATTTAGGAGCAAGTCAAGCCATCTTGATTCGATTCAGCGAACGCTCTCCAAATTCTAGTAATCTATTATCGGCTATTCAAGTAACTAGCCTTTTTTCATAGTCATGTCTCCCAAAACCGGACCTCCTCAAAAACCAGACCTCCCTAAAAACTAGACCTCCCCAAAAACAGGACCTCCCCAAAAACAGGACCTCCTTAAAAACAGGACTTCCCTAAAGCGGGAGCCTTAAGATCTTTCCTGCCTCTTTCTAATTAGGAAGTAAGAAAAATTATTACCTCCTATAGAGCCACCCTTAGTTAAAGAAAAGAGAAGTCGTTATTTCCTCTTCTCCCTTCAAAATCAAGATATATCCCCGAACCTTAATACGCTACTTTATTAATGCCCCTAATAGTCTTACCTAGGTTAAAAGCAATAATTTATATCTGTTTTATACAAGGGATCGTTGACGAACCTTGTTTATAGAGCTAAGATCACTAAATCATTGCTTTTAACCTAGGTAGGACTATTAGGGGTAATAGGAAAGATCCTTCACAGAGAATGCCTTAATAGGACTTACTGATTACTTATGCTTAGCAGGAGAAGCTTGAGGGCAGGCTGTAATCCTAACCTGCTTCCTAGAGCAAAATTATGCAAGAGGACCTTTTATCAGGGCCATTCAACTTACGAAACAGGGATTCAGAGATCAAAAAATGATATAATAATTAATAGGAAACGCGATTTTGCTTGTTCTGACAAGGTTTACCTAACGGCAGAGATTCTACTGGTTGTTTCAGTCTAATCTAGACTAAATAAATCATAAGTTATAACTTGCTTCATTTTATAGGCTAAGGTTATAGAAAGGTAAAGACATGTTATAACCTTGAGAATATACAGCGTATTTTTCAGGCTTTCTTGTCGTTAAGGAAGAGCTATCTCTTTATGGAAATGATGCTAAGGCTAAATATCAAAACTTAGTACGAGATTACTAAAGGGCCCTAAGTCAAGTCCTTTTGCTGGCCAAGCTAAGGTTTGAGCATTATATGCTATATAGTAAAACACTATATAATAAATGCGCTTATATATAGGGATGTTAAAGTAATAATGATTAATTGTATCACTAACGCTAGGCATATCATATTAATCTAGTTACAATTTATATAAATAAGGCCTGTTGCCTTCTTCTAATCCTAATATACTCTTCCTCCTGCTCTACAGTGATAGTTGCCTTCTTCTGATCCTAATATGCTCT